TATATATATATATATATATATATATATACAGTTATGGCCATTGAAATCCGACCACCAGTATCATTTTACTTAAAACTAGTTTAATGTAGTAATAAACAATTGTATTATAGCAATAAAAGAATAACAGTAGCAATTAATGATTATAATGTAACATATCGTACATTTTAATGTTTATATTAATGTTTTTTACTCTCAGGTTCGTTGAATTTAATATTTAGTGGCACCACCATGTGCTTTTAAGACTGCATTAATGCGATCTGACATTGAATCCACGAGAGCCTAACAATGTTCTGGTGTTACTTCAGTAATCCAAGCTTGACGAATTATGTGCGCTAGATTGTCCAGTGATGTAGGATTAGTTCTGGATACTGCTGACTTTAACTGATTGATTGATTAACTGCTGACTTTAATGCGATCCTATCACGGATGTTCTTTAAAGACAGTCGCGGTTTGAGGGCTGGACGACGAGAACGTAGGCCTACATCTTTCAATAAACGTCTTCTTATTGTTCAAGTGCTGACTGTAACGTCATTAGGTAGATCTGCCCTGATTTGTGTGCTGGATATTGTTTGATCTCTCACAGCAGCCCTGCGTATCTTATTGTCTGTTTGTTTGCTAGTAATTCTAGCTTTACCAAAACGTTTTCTGGGCGCAGTGGATCCTGTGTCTTTGATTAGTTGTATAATATTATGAACAGTTGATTTTGGCATTCGATATCTTGCATATATCTGATGCTCACTTGCACCATCCTCCCATAAAAGTTTAATATTAGCACGAACACCTTTCTTCGTAGTCATAATTCAATTGTGACAGTTAAATGATAATCCATACCCTACAATGAGATATATAGCTTAATAAATTTTACAGTGCAATAAAATAAACACTAATGTGATTGTCTAAAAGCTAATTAACTAATCATTGATAACACGGAAGAAAATAAATTGATTATTCGAGTGCATAGACTGTTTTTCTTTATATTCAGCAGTGGTCGGATTTCAATGGCCATAACTGTATATATATATAAACATATAATAATTTTTTGAGACCCTATTTAATGTCTTTTGAATGTGATTAGTCAAAAAATTTAATACATTTAATTTAGATGTTGTTTTGAAAGTTCATAAAGGTGTGTCGTTGGTCCAAATAAATGTTGCGATTTCGGAACAATTAAAGAGACTCAATCAAAGAAATCGAAATTCTAAGTCTACAACAGCTGAAGAAACTACACCTGAAATTCTAGAGTTTGATTAAAAACCAATTATTTTATTAATTTTAAAATAAATTGTTAAAATATAAAGTCTTTTTTATTGTTGAGAAGACTTATAGGTTTGAAAGATCCTGCTTACACACTTTGGTTAGCACTATGACATGTTACTTATTTAGGGATAGGCGAGGGCTTCAGTACATACACTGACTGATTTAGGGAGAACTCGCAAGTGAGTTAAAAACACATCCATTTTATTTATTATTTATTTTATTTTTTTGAAGAAGGTCAGGTTTTGATTATTGGTGAAAAAAATTTTTAATTTTATGACATGTTTTAATAAAACATGTCATATAACAAAACAGTTAAATTTTTGTTCATTAAAATCGACAATTATCTTCATTTTATATTTAACATAATAAATATTTTAAATATAAAATATAACATTTCTTTCATTTCTTTCATTCTTTCATTTCTTTCATTCTTTCATTCTTTCATACTTTCATTCTTTCATTTCTTTCATTCTTTCATTCTTTCATTTCTTTCATTCTTTCATTCTTTCATTTACAGGTGGGTAAAGTTTTTGTTTTATTTTGAAACGAGAACATCATTTGCTCTGCAGCTGACGTTCTTGTTTTAACAAAAAATGTGCAATTTTTTTGATAATGTTCCTTATTAACATCATTGTAACAGTTGTTTTTTGCACGGTTATTTAGGTTGCTTGCTTAATTTCATTAAATAATTTATGTTATTATGGCTGCAAAATTATTTAGAAAAATACAGCAAATGCTGGAAGCTAGAACAGGAAGTTATAAATCAGCATCTTGAGGGTAAAATGAAAATCAACAACTAGTAGCACTTCTTTGAATTGTCTTTAAATTAGAGTAATGTTAATTTTGATTGATATGGAGATAGATGCATACAATGGAAAACGAACTGCTGTTATGCGAGTTTTTATAAATTTTAGTCTTTCTGAGGGCCTAATTAAAAAAAAGATACTCAACTTGGTTTGTTTGGAACAATTTTGGTTATATGGTATTAAAACTTAAAAAATTAGTTTAATGAATAAACAGCTTTAAAAATAATCTTTTACTACAAATAATGAACAGACACTAAACAAAGTTATATACTTAATTGTAGGTAGTATTTTCAGCTGTACATAGTATGTTTTTGTAATTTTTCTTTATATCTAGATTTTTGGAAGATGTTAAACAACAAGATGTAATTCGAGGTAAAAATATTTAGTATATGATATTTTTTATTTACTTAGATATGTGTGTGTATTTGACATATTTTTGCCACACAAAACATATTTTTTGTGGGGAAGTAATATATGTTTGGGAGGAGAACATTCTTGAGACACGTAATAAGCCATACTATTTAAAAGTATTTTAAATAGTATTGCTTATTTTTGTTGTTGGTACATTCAGATACTGTTTAGTATGTTTTTTAGAAACTATTTGTACGTTTAGATATTGTTTCTAAAATTCTTAAAGACGTGTTATTCGTTCAAGTAAACGATGCTGTTAAAGCAGGTTGTCTGAGCAGTTAAAGAAACTTAATCAAATGATTCAAAATTCTCTTCTTTAGGCAGTCGAAGCAACGATACTCGAAATGCCTGGAATGGATAATTAACCAAGTAATAAATAAACTTTGAAATAAAGTTTAAAAAAAAAAAAATGTCTTGTTTATGTATATTGTATTATATATGGCTTATAAATTTAATTGCCGAAGTTACATAAATAATACTAAAAAAAATTCTATAAAGATAAGTATTTAAAACAACCTATCAGCGGCCAATAGTACCGTAAAAAATACGAAAAAAAAAAACGTATTAATACGTTCAATAGATACGTATTTAAAACACCCAATCAGCGGCCAAAAGTACCGTAAATAATACGAAAAAAAAAACAAGAAAAAATACGTATTAATACGTTTAAAAGATACGTATTTAAAACGCCCAAACAGCGGCCAAAAGTACCGTAAATAATACGAAAAAAAAATACGAATAAATACGTATTAAATACGTATAATTTTGTTTGGGTAAATATTAATATATAATGCTTATATAATGCAAATATATAGTATATAAATATAATGCAAATATATAATATATAATGCAAATATATAATGCAAATATATATATATTAATATATAATTCTTTATATATAAATATATATAATGCTTTATATATATATATATATATATATATATATATATATATATATATATATATATATATATATATATATATATATATATATATATATATATATATATATATATATATATATATATATATATATATATATATATATATATATATACATATTATAGCCTTGGTGACTCCTCGTTTGGCATGAAGGCAATTGCATAGAAACAACACTCCTGCTGAAAATGCATGCCAATATTATAGAGGAGCAATTTGGTTTCCGTACTTAGATTCAGTGACTTAAACCACCAGCAACTAGTTATGAAAATGTCTGCTTTGTTACCATCAGTGATTTCTCAACTCAGTTGGTCTGATGTGGTTGAAACTGTAAGAATGTTTTCTTCTGTTGTTGGGTTTCCAAAAGAGGAAACTAATCATAATGAATATTTGGAGTGAAAAGAATTTTTCTCGCATATGCAAAGCCGTACTTCAACTTTATTAGCAGCTTTCGATCTAATTCCTGATCAGTATAATTTATATTCAAGTTCAAAGCAAAACCTTCATAAAAAGAATTAAAAAAAGTTTTTTAATAGTTAAGAGAAAAAAATACACACAAATATATATAAAGTTGGATGTATTTTGATAAAAGTTTATAATAAAAAAGTGAAAAGTCATAAAAAATTGCTTAGGTATCGTCAAAACATCTTTTTAAGTTATTGAGACTAAGGTAGAGGCGGCTTACTTAATGCATTACTGTTAAGTAGCAGTTTCAAGATCTTTGTAACATTTTAAAAACCAATTTAACAGCACTTGTTAAATTAGGCTCTCATATATTTAAAGAATCAAATAATTTGTTTTCATTTTACATCAGATGTCTCACAGTAGCATAAACTGACGTTTTATGCAACTATGACCAACATCAAGTTCTTGAAAGTTTAAATCTTATTATGAACGTCGTTTTAAGCTTTTAATTTTAGTTTTTTCAAAGATTTGTTTAACCGAATAAAATGTGAAAAACAGATTAAAATATGCACTACCAGCATCCTTAAGCAAGTTAATAAACGCTTTTTAACAGTTTTGAATGAAAAATTGCCAAGCTTTACAAAAATTGTGCGATGCACATAACGAATATGATTCTAATTCAACAAAATTTTTTAATGTATGGGATGTTTTCAACAATTCAAAAGTCGTTATAATTTTTGCTTTGATTATGTTAATATTTAAATTTACAATTTTTTTATAAAGAAAATTATTGTTGCAGTCATAAGTCATCTGGTGGCTCAATAACAGAACGCAATACGTCTCTTAGCCAAAAGACGTATTGTGTTCAATACTAAGTATTGAACGCAATTTATATCAATACCAAATTTGTGAACATTAATAGTTTTACAGTCTTAAATTAACTTAATTAGAAACAAAACAGTTTCTTTATCATTGATTTGATCTATACTAGAATGTGTTGATAATGCAAAAAAATTTTTTTTTTAAAAAAACTCTCAATACACAAATAAATATTATGTCATCTAACAGGAAATATTAAAGTTTTATTTAAATATAAAAGAGTCATAAGTGTTTTAATTTTTAAGAAGCAAAATTTATTAAGTTCATCACACCTTTTAACTAAATTATCATCATTGTCCTTAAACTGTATTTTTTAGTTTTTTAATTAATCCAATTATCTTCGTAATCGTATTCACCACCTCTGGGCAAACTTAATAACATAGGTAAGGAAGGAGGACTGAACTTTCTTTCAAATGCTTTGCCACAATTCTCCGTGATAAGACCGTATGGATTTTTTGGGGTACCAAAAAAAAACATATAAATAATTATAGATTGAGTAGAATAAAGTTGTTAATTACCATTAGCATTATTTTTTAGAATTTCAAAGGGGACTGTTCAGAACAAACTTTGTCGGTTTTTTGTGTTCCTTATCGCTCATATTCTTTAAAACATTTATGCTATGACATTACAAAATCCTTTAGTAATTTTGGCTATGATGATATTCAACAGGACCGGCGACACCGGGGAGAGGGGGCCAGGGAGGACATGTGCCCCCCACACACTTAATTTTTCTAAAAGAATTTTTTTTTTTTAATTATTTCTAGATAAAGAAGACTTTTTAGGAAGAATTGACAGTTTTGTCAGTTCTTAAAAAAAGTCTTACAAAACTCTTTCATAATTTTGCAATTGGTTTATTGCATATTAAAGATTTGCTGCACAAATGTAAATGAAAAAGATCATCAGAATGAAGTACGCTTGAAATATTTTGTTGAAAAATGACGTTTATTATTTTCCAAATCATTGAGTGTTAACAAAATTGACCAAATAAAAGTTTCTATAGATCTGTTTTCTTCATTATTTACTCAATAATTTTTCAAGTAAGTTTGTATTTTTAACTTTCAACTATAAATGTTTTTCAACAAATAACCAGCTAGATTTTAAGTTAAATTATTTATGAACATAGGATTAAAAATAGTTCTCTAACAAATGCCTAATACTTTAAAAAAACCTTATAAATTCAAATAATAAAGACATTGATTTTTACTAAAAAAGGACTTTCCCAAAATAAAACGCTTTATTAATGTAAATAGACCTAAAGCGTCTAGTCTAAAAAACAGTGTTTAGTGAAAATATTATAAGCACCCATTTTGAAACAAAAAGTGTAATTTATTGGTCATCTTTATTTTTATAGGAAGAAATAAAATGAAAAACTCTACGGTACCTAATTCTAGAAAAGATTTGCTGAAAGTTAAAGTTAGGGAACGTTTATTTTGTCATCGCGATATTTTATTGCTTTTTGGTTGCAACTTTTAAACATATATATAATTTATTAACTTTATTTTCTTACCTTGAAAATGCATCCAATGATCTTGTATTGACAAGGAATAATTGTATTAGCGCAGCTATCCATGATATGGGTTGACATCTATGGATATAGGCAAAAAATATTTCACATATTAAATGTAGCACATTGTTGTCTTTTTTTATATAAAACTATTTCTTCGAATTAATTTTTCAAATTAATCAAACCTCTTTCCGGACAATTTTCATGCCACATTGATTTACACAATAAAGTTGCAAACACTCGCATCTTTCCAAGTGAGCCTAATGTAAATTTACAAAAAAATTTAAAATGATATGATTAAAAAAAGAAATTTTTATGAAGCAGACTCATCAATAATAGTCATCATTATCATAATCCCAAAGGTCATAAAAAATAATGATCATTATTGCAATAATACTTACTTTTGTTACTGGTTTCAATTTTAAGAACATATATTTGCTCACTATGGTTTTTTTTAAATAAGGTATTTTAGAAATTAAAAAACTAAACCCTTTTTTAAGTTTTGATTTAAATCAAATACGTTGATTCCTAATCCCAATAACTTTGCGTAGAAAAATTTTTTCCTTGTCCCTATTACACGTTTTTGAAAATAATAGGAGCTTATAATAACCACATATAACATTGATCAAATCAATAAATGGTGGTTTAAGTAATTTTTTTTAGTTTTTACGATAAAAAAACAACAATGCCCCACTTGCAGTTTTGAAAATTAGTTGTAATAATAAAAAAAAAATTCTGAAAATAGTAAAAAGTAGTTACTTTTTACTATTTTAGAAAAAAAAAAATTATTATTATTACAACTACTGACACCTGAAACTGTTTTAGCTAAGCCTTTTACTAACACATTTACTATTCTAAAAAAGCTTTTATTCAATCCTACTATCGCCATACGTATTTCAGACGTAAAACGGATTTTAAAAAACGATTATATCTGAACACTTTTATTATAATTTTGTATTAGCATTTCTCCCATAATTACTACATTGAGTATTTTTATGCTTCAAATATAGTGAAACTATGGATTTTTTATTCGATTTTGATTGACATAAAATGCCTGACGCTTCATTTTGCACAGTTATTAGCTTAAGTAACTTTTCTCCTAGCATCAATGTTATAACTAGAACAATATTATTGTGGCAGTCTGATTAAATACTTTTTTAATCATTTAAAAATTCAACACATTCCCAATTACTAATTCTAATTATTTTTATGCTGTTTCATGGCTCTATTTTATATTTCTTGACATAATAACTACTCCATAGTCCATATAAAAAGAAATCTTGAGTTTTAACATTTTTGTGTATGTAAAATATGAGGATTAGCTCATGTTTTCTTGTATTATATATAAATACATATCAGTACTTTTTATGTTTTGACTATATAAAAATATAATTTTTTATTACAAAATTTTACAAATAGGTATTTTAGAATGTATAATTAAAAAAACAAGTTTGTAATACTAATCTGGTCTTGCTAAGACCCAATTATTAAATAAACATTTAGAATAAAATGCGTATAATGTTCTAGCTACATAAAATTGGAAACAACATTTACCAGGTGGGAGATAAGCTAGCAACTAGCTAGTCGCTACTTATAGGTAAAAAAACGCGTTAAAGTTGTATAAAATGCGTAATGAAACGTGTTTTAGACGTTTTAAATTTATCTTGTGTCAACAGCTTTTTTTTTTCACCGAGTAACCATAACATGCAAAAACCATTTATAGAGACCAGGCAAACAACCGCAATTTGTATATCAAATTTCTATTGATAATATACATATAGAACAGTATTGTATTTTAAGTTTCAAATTACTGGACCACTTTAAACCGCAAAAGTATTCGACTATATAAGTGAAATTTTAACTAAGTACTTAAAATACCCCGCCATTTGAAACCATTTTATTTGACGTAACTTAAATTGAAAACAGTGTTGTAATACCTCATCATATTCCCTCCAAAAAAAAAACTTTTTTACATAAAAATTATCTATATGCAGTTATGTTTATTTCTTTTTTTTATTTTAAATATTTATATAAAATACTTCATTTATCATCCATAGCATTTCTCAATAATATTCCTCGAAGGTAGCGAATTTTAAACTCTGACAAACGCAAACTGGTAAAATGTGAACTTTTTGCGAACCATCGTAGTTAATTTAGCGGTATATTTTAAGGACTTTTATGCAAAAAAATTATTAAAAAAAAAAAAAGGGAAATTAAATGAAATTAGACAAATACAATATGAAAATATATGTATTTTTTTAAATTATTTGATGGACTGCCTGCCCAACTCAAATCCTCAGTCGATGTATCAGCACTCCGTTGCGAGTCAGGCTATTTGTCAGTCAATGTATCAGCACTCCGTTGCGAGTCAGGCTATAAGATTGTCGATGAAGCAACACTCCGCGCATATTTTGTTGTTAAAACATAAAGTTCTTATTTTGAATAAGGCTTTAAAATAAAATATTAGGAATTGGAGAGTTTTTTTATAGTTTTTTTAACGGCAACAGAGTAAAAGCGCATAACTTTAAATTTTGATGAAAAATAAAGTATTTTATAAAATAATTTAAAATAAACAAATTTAACTATTTTATTCATAACTTTTATGAAAAAAAAATTTTTTTTTGAGGAATATTTTACGGGCGGTTTTTTCTCGGGGGGATTTTTTCTCGGGGGATTATTTTGGAGGGATTTTTTCCGGGTGGATTTTTTCCTGCTTCAAAGTGTTTATACAAATATATCTGATATATATATATATATATATATATATATATATATATATATATATATATATATATATATATATATATATATATATATATATATATATATATATATATATATATATATATTATATATATATATATATATATATATATATATATATATATATATATATATATATATATATATATATATATATATATATATATATATATATATATATATATATATATATATATATATATATATATATATATATATATATATATATATAAATATATATATATATATGTATATATATATATATATATATATATATATATATATATATATATATATATATATATATATATATATATATATATATATATATATATATATATATATATATAAATGTAAATATATATATATATATATATATATATATATATATATATATATATATATATAAATGTATAAATATATATATATATATATATACAGTAAAATCCCATTAAGTTGGACTCTCAATGTTAACAGATTTCCGAATAGCAGATGTCCGAGTTAAGCGTAGCTTTAGGTATTTATAGAACGTTCAAGGAAGATTGAAAAACTTTTCAACTTAGTAAAAGGGGTTGTCCATAATTGATGTCTGTGATTTTTCTAGATTTTTAAACCCCCTCCCCTCTTTGTCAAACTGTCATTTTTTGGCAAACCTTTATTTATGATGTCCATTTATATGTGATGTCAGGCTTTGTACCCCCTCCCTTCCCTAAAGTAACATTACAAATATACGTAAGCACCATTGATTTTTTCTGGTTTAATTATACATTTATCTCTCAAATAGTAAACAAACTATTGAAAATATTATTCTATATCTATAATATAAAATCAATCACTATTTGTCTTCCCATAAGTTGTTGAAGTGTTCTTCGATAATAAACACATTTTAAAATCCGCTCGGATTGAGTAATGATTGTTAAATTTATATACAAGTTGTTGATATTTGCAAACAACTAGATTGTTTACAAATATCAACAACTTATATATATATATATATATATATATATATATATATATATATATATATATATAACTAAACAAAATCACTGTAAAAAAACTTAAATAATGTGTGTCTGTATGCACCTTTGATCATATGATCAAAGGTGCATAAACGCATTAGGATCAAGAATGCTAATCCGTTCCATTTTTACAAAAATTATTTTTTTGTCATATTAGATTTTTCTATAGCTTATTAAAAACAACCATACAAGAGGTGAATAGTTAAGTTACAAAATGACATAAGCAAAATTATTCATTTTAAAAAATAATAAAGATGTGAGGTTCCTTGTAAAAACAAAAAATTTTTTTTGTCGTCAAAATCAAAATATTTAGAAATAAATTTAATAGTGGACTATTTTGTAACCAAAACATAAGTAATTTTGAGGATACAATATTTATAACACGCTGGTTATCAGCTCTCTTTATTAAGTTATGTAAGTATGGAGATAAAGCTATAGGATCAAAGGTGCTTACGGATCAAGGGTGCAAGTTCTCCCCTACTTATTTTTAGCTTAATTTTTGAATAGAAAGAATAGATGAGATGATGAACCTAACCCTTGATATTAATAATTTTCTATTGATGATGAAAGTTATTACTTATTTTAGAAAGATTGGCTTTAAACGTCTCAGTAACGTCTTTAGCAGCTAATTGGTAAACGTGGGTTCCACAAAATATCTTAATGCAGATTATACCAATATTGTTTTCTGACACACTAGACCTTCTCCCATGTTCTAGAGTTTGCGATTGTCTTTTGCTTTTGTCATCTGTATTTTCGGAATTTTTAACAACAACTTTTTTTTCGAGATTGACTCGATCAAGCAAATCTAAATATTCAATATCAAACTTTTGTGCTTCCTTGACAAATTCATTACAAATAATCCTTTGATTTTGCATTTCTTTGATACAATCAGAAGCTTTGATCATGTTTTTACTTTGATTTAAACTAAGTTGTTTAAATATCGTCTTCTCCTTTACCTACTTTTGCAGGCATAGTAATCAGCTGGTCGGCTAAAACCATCCCAAATCGTCGTCCGTGCTGAGTGAGCATTCCCAAAGTTTGATTATACATTTTTCCGTCTTTTGTAAACCGAATATTTCCAGAAAAAACATTCGTAATTATACGAGACGTTGAACCAAATATAATGATAAATATACATTTTCTATGTGTTTTCCAATAATTTCATAAATTTAATTAGCAGCTTTAAAAATAAATTATTTTTCTTTCTGACGATTCCATCTCACTTAAAAACCTTGAAAAGCTTTTTTAATTATTTCATTCTTTCTCATGTCATCAGCAACCGTCATTAGCAAATTTCTAATTAGGATTGACTTTGTAAAATCTCTTACTGTTCGTTAATATTAAAGCATACAAAAATAGCAACTTCTTCAACCATATCATGACTTTTGTTTTGAACTCTTTTTTCTTTTAAAAATTCTAAGTTTATAGCAATATCCTTGTGATATGAATTCAAATGATTTTTGAGGTGAGAAACATAA